AAAATATTAGATAAAGGAGAAGAAGAAGAAAAAAAAAAAAAAAAAAAAAAAAAAAAAAAAAAGGAAAAGGAAAAAACTTACCTTTTAAAAATCAATCAAAAATTAAAAAATTTATTTAAACTGTGAAAAGTGCGAGAGCATGCAGCGAATTATAATCACTATTTCAATATTTTAGGGACCCCTTTCAACAAATAAAGTAAATTGTCCTCGGTTTACGAGGGTAGCACTCTAATTTGAATCGATAGTGGCTAATAAACTTTTGGACCTCGTTCAATGATCGAGATGGAATTTAAAATTGATGGAGGAAAACGGGACATCTGGAGTAAGAACTCTCGAAGCACTTGAGAGAACCGACGAGCAACTGTACTCGCATATGAAGGCGCGTCCAGGGATGCAACCCAGGACCACAGGGGCGCGAAAGGCGGCGAATTAGCAGTGAACATAGCCACCCATGCTTCCCAAAAGCGAAATCAATATCTACCCGTTTTAAAACTGATTTCAAATCAAGGAAGAATAATTAGCTATAAAGGATAAAGGACTCTTACCAGCAAATCTTGACCACACGAAGTTAAGCCTCAATAGATTTTCACCAACCAGTAAGTTTCGTACAATTATTTTTCATTACGTGATGCTATGGTACGCGCTTTCTTATTGGTTAAATGCGAGCAAATCGTACTGCTGTATGGTACGCGAATCCTTATTGGTGAACGTGATATGGGGTCCATTACACCATGTTACCTGCTTTCTCATTGGTAGAATTAAATATTATGCGCATGACGTTTTTTCTTTGACCGCTTTAGTAGAACAAATATGCAGCTTGAACAATACTAATGTTTTGAAATCCCACGGACTTTAATTCATAAGCGAAAGGCTAAGCCTTTGCAAATGAGTCTGTGGTATTCAAAGACAGCCGTATGCATCAGATGCGAAACTAGGCCCGGTTGTACAGCCCCGTTTACACTAGCGATTTATGCAGCGAATTTTGCTGCGATGTTTTTGCGATTTTTTCCATAATAAATAATGGTAAAGAATTTACTTGTAAAGTTTTTTTCAGGATACCAAGATTTCCCTAGACGAATGTCTCTTTTGAAGGATGAGACAAAAGATTTCATATTTTCGAAAATTGCCACAAAACCGGTTATAATAATAAAAATACAAATATTTGAGGATGTTTAACAAAAAATACAATCCAACACAACTTTTAGTCATTTTGCTTGCAAACGTTTTGATTATTTAGTAAGAATATAGATAAATAGTGAACAGACTTAGATAAATAATCAATTTGGCGTAATTAGACTGATCTTTACAAAATCTTTTTTTTTTTTTTTTTTTTTACAAAATTAGGAAATTAAAACACAACAAAATCATTGAGAGTAGAACTCTTTGCTTTTGGCGAAATGTTTTCGCATTCCAGATACTTGTCATTCTTTTAAGAATAAGATTCTTTGTTTGAGTTGTATCCAAATTCATGTGTCTTCGGTTGTGAGCAACCGTTAAACAAAGAAGTGATACTCTAGGAAGGTCTATTTTGAAAAAAAAACAAAAACAAACAGAAAACAACCTATTATTAGTATTTTTAAGTGAATATCATAAATCCGGCGCGCTCATTGGTCACAATTAACGTCTTATGCTGCTATACTAACCTACAGGTGAATATAACTAGCGCATGCGCACACTCGTTAGTCGATTTGTGTCGCTTAGAGAGATAAATAATTTGCCAAATAATATAAAAGACATTTCTAGTTCTAGTTTATTTTATTCTAAAGTGAAAGCAGAGCTAAAGAAGCGATATGACATTACTTGATTTTTATTAATTAATTTATCTTTCACCTGATTGATGGATATTGGTGCTGCGCTGCTGTACCCTGGGCAATTATTGGGTCGTGGCATTTGGGACAGTTTTCTCTTTGTCTGTTGCCCCGAATATCTCGACCTGGGGTGGTTGCTTGGGGGCGGTGGGCGTAGCCCCAGTATCTTCAGTTTTTGTCCTTTTTATTTATGTATAATAATTGTCTAGCTTAGAATAATCCAATAGTAATTATGTCAATCTTATTTCTTATTATGTCTAATTTATTTTATAGCTTCATAGTTTATCGTAAATTTATCTTGTGTGTATGTTATTGTAAATTAGATAGTTTTATCAATAGGGGAAGAGCCACCTCGTGGATTCTATTGATTAAACCTTTATTATTATTATTATTATTATTATTATTAAATAACATCTAAACTTTATCAATACGCTTTTTAATCTATTCCAAAAACTCTTTTAGAAGATGAGTTGCTAATATTAAAATTGAAGTATGTCAACAAAGCTCCTTATTTGTTAATTATTATATAGTTAGAATAGTACGCGCGCGCGCGTTCGAAAACTGTGCTTTATTAGTGAGTGGATAGAGCAGTTTTCGTATGACTGTGAAAAGCTCAGTGCCGTGCCGTGACCGTGATGTTTTCTAGAATTTTAATTGTCTGATTTAATTTTATTTAATTTGGCGTGACCGTGTCCGCGCCGTGTTTATGCCATGTTCCGGGTATTTGATTGGATGGAGGGTAAATTCTCGTGCAATGTGATTGGACTGGCGTATCCCTTGCCGTGTCATGGCCGTGTTCGTGCCGTGAATTTTTTACAATCATACGAAAACTGCACTAATAGGGCTGACTCCATCCGCGCGCACGAAATGCTGTTAGATCGCTTTTGGTCTCTTGTTTTCTGGTTTCATGTCGTAGAAATAGTCAAATACAATAGTTTGAGGACTTATTTTGATATGTTTTGACTTAGCATCCGCTAGTTGCCCCTCACTCAACCGCTTGTTTGCCCCCCAGTCGACTCCAAAAAGTCACGTGATTGATACCAGGCAATAGTGTATGTAACACGTTTCAACGTTTCTGTTCGCAACCGAAAGAAAATACACAAAGAAAAAAGACAAAATTAAAAACTTTATTTCCATTTCAATTCTAAAAACTAAACTTTGTTAAGATACTCTCTATTGTTAAACAAGTTCGTTACGTATGCTGTTAGTTATATTCCAAACTTTATATACACAAATAAGGTCGCTTGTGGATATCGATCATATATATATATATATAGTATTTATATATTGGATGTTTATATACACACTTATATATATAAAACAACTGTTTTTTATACAGATATGTATGTATACTTATATATAGTATAAACACTTAAATTTGTTATAAAAATAGCTTTTCTAATGCGCATCGGAGTTTAGTAGGTAATAGCCACTTCAAGATTGAGGAAAAAACTTGGTCGAGTAGTGCATTGTTCGGATGTTTTAGGGGACGAAATAGACGCCATCTTGGAAATATCTCCTCTACAGTCCCACAATGCACAACGCCAACTCGACCCAGTTTTTCCTTTAATCGTGTTGTTAAACTGGGAAACTACTAATCCAGGGCACAGGTGCATAAAGCTCTCTTAAGATAAAAAAGCTTAAAAACACTCGTAAGTATTGTCTTAGTACAATGGCCTATTGTTTTGGAACAACACTTACGGATGCTCTTATCTTAAGAGAGCTTTATGCAACCGGGCCCAGGACTTTAGTAGTCAAGCAAGAAGTTGTTTCACAAAGATATACGAACTTACAGACAAAAGCTGATGCCCCAAACGTCACAAAGAATATTTATAAAACTTGTGCATTCTGAAGAATTTAACGTGTTTTTTCGCATTAACACTAAGGACTAAAACGGGAACAGCGCATGCGTTTTTAAGCAAACCGCTGACAACTAGGAACGGTGGGTTTGGGTATTTTCCCCACAAACTTAGATGATTTTGGAGCGTAAGAACATAAGATAGATGGTAATATTTGCTATTTACAACGTTTGGGAAGAATTATACGAAGATGTTGAAAAAAGCAAAGCAAGAAATATGTCGGCAACAAAAAGCGAAAAAAACCCCCCACGTTGCGCGATAGTACTTTATACTCAAAGAAACCTTGCAAAACGCAAAGCTAAAGCAACCTTGCTCCAAATATCATACTGGATTGCCTGTGTAATAGGGTCACGTGCCGCATGTGACGTTATTCGATATGTGGGTTTCCTGTGGAGTGATATGCCATATAAAGACCATTTGTCATACATTTTCAATCTTCTCAGTACTTGGATCATAAGTCCCTACGCAACAGAATAATCGTTCAGTGCGATCATTTGTAGAGCTCCGTGTTCCTATCGTCTCGTGTGGATGGGAGCGCCGTTTGAGCTCTTCTGGAGAAACGACCTCACATTTGTGAGAAATCGTTTGGACATCATTTTCGTCGACGTGGGTCGATCGGTAAAGGGAATTCTGGGGAAAAAATTGATAAACTTAGTACATTTTTATGCTTGTTATTCAATCTTTCAAACTTTTTTAAAGAATAGAGGTTTTGCACCATCACGTGCCAGTGCCCATAATACAGCTTGGACTGCCTGTGGTTAGATGGCAGAACGATCAATCCCTGCTCTCGGGAATTACATTCTTTCTTATGTAAAAATATTGTATTGTTCCTGCCATCTAACATGGCTGCCGTCACGTGCAAAACCTCTATAGATCCATTATCAACTTGAGCCACGATGTAATGCTTTCCCATTTCAGACCACGTGTCAATCTCTTGAGAATAAGATTCTTTGCTTGAGTTGCATCCATATTCATGTGTCTTCTCATGCGCAACCGTTAAACAAAGAAATGATACTGAAGGGAATGACACGTGGTCTATGATAGAAAAACAATACGCTTATGCTCAAAACGTTGACGCCTTTTCTCCGTTACGTAAAGACAATCGAAGATTCTCATGCTTTAACATTTCAAGCTTAGTATGCAACACACAGCATGCAACAAAACCATCACCAACTTCCAGCTGATCTGAGAGCAAATGTTAGCCAATCAGAATAGAGAAAATTTGCTAATAGAGGCTGATAACAGTAACATTATAACTTTTTACAATATGGGCATGTTTTCCCCCCCTTGTCAATAGGCCCTTTGCAGTTAACGGAGCATTTCTTTTTTAAATCGGTGATTCTTTTTAGCTACTTGTAAAGAACTGGATGAAACGATGTGTAACCAGTATATTACGAAAGCAGTTTTATTACGATTACTCGAAACAGGTTGTAGAAAGTTTGTTTGCTCTCCAGTAAATTTCACCCTTGGGAATCAAAATGTTCATTCATTTGTTCTCAGTGACTTATTACTGAGTTGCAAAGGGGCTATTTTTACAGGCTTCACGAAACCTCAGTTTTGCAGCGACGTCATTTCTTCGTCACTATTTCAGATCAGCTGGGTTTTTTTCCCGAAACAACTGTAGCAGTCCAAAAGACTTTACGACAATACGGTAACGTACGAAGACACGACGCATAAAACAAGGCAGAGCTTAAAACACAAAACTACCTTTGTATCTGAAGGCCTTCTTCCAGCCTTGGTTTCTTCCGGGTGGTAAAACCATTTTACTTTAACAACCATGTTACCGCTACATCCCTCCCACATATTCTCTATCATGCCCACGTACGGTAGATTATTGGACTTGGAAGGATTAGATGTGAAAACCGCACAGTCACCAACCTATGACAAGGTGATTAATATTAGTATAATATTAATAAACTATAGATTATTAGATTGGGATGAAAACCGCACAGTCACCAACCTATGACAAGATGATTAATATTAGTATAATATTAATAAACTATAGATTATTAGATTTTGATGAAAACCGAACAGTCACCAACCTATGACAAGGTGATTAATATTAGTATAATATTAATAAACTATAGATTATTAGACTGGGGAAAACACCGCAGTGTCCAATCTACAAGGTGAATAATATTAGTATAATATTAATAAACTATAAATTATTAGACTGGTGTGAAAACGCACAGTCATCAACCTACAAGGTGAATAATATTAATATAATATTAATATAAATATTAATAAACTATTGATTATTAGAATGGGGCGAATAATACAGTCTTCACCCTACAAGGTGATTAATATTAGTATAATATTAATAAACTATAGATTATTAGACTGAGACAAAAACTGCAGTGTCCAACCTAAAAGATGATTAATATTAGTATAATATAAATGAATTATATATTATTAGAATAGGGTGATGAATAACATGGCTTTGTGAATGTCTAGAGAGACGAAAGGTTAAACGTTTTGGATATTTGGGATGCTAAATGCATTTTATGATGCCGCTTGTGACGCATACGATAATTTTGTCAACTCCTCTCTTTCTCTCTTTCCTCCACTGTCGTTCCCATTAATCGTTTGGGAAAAAAATTATGCTCCTAAAAAGCTAAACTCACCGAGATAGTCTCGTCTCCTCTGACAATAGTTTTGTAGAAAACCTTTCTTCCTTTTCCTTTTCTCTTGTTTTGGAAATTCTTTCCGGACCATTGCCAGAGCTCACCTGATGAGACAACAAAAAATATTTTCGTTTGAATTTAACATAGCACATCGTGTAGAACACCTAAGAACCTGTTAGGCCTGGTTCCTGCTAGCGAGACAAGCCGGCGCAATCCGAGGTTGAGAAAAAAACTAGATTCGTTTGTCATCGTAGTGCATTGTGGGGGCTGTTTAAGGGGATATATTTTCAAAATGGCTTCTACTTTGTCCCATAGAACAGGCCAACAATGCACTGCAATGACAACTCGATCCAGGCTTTTACTCAAGTTTGGAATGGCTAATAAAGACAAGCGCAAGCCAAGACAAGAAAAACAAAATTGTTCAGAAACAAGCGATTATTCTCACGCTCTGTCGTGACAGTTGCCATTGATAACATTAGGAACTAAAAAGTGAAACTTGTTCACGTGATACATCTCATACGCATGAATAATTCATGAGGAAGCCAGCCAATCAATGGGCTATTTTTTGGGTCAAATGATGTTACTTGAAACCTGGTAAAGTCCTGTGAAAGGACTGAATTAATTTTGTTCTAGTTCTTGGAATGGATCAAAACTAATTCAGTTCAGGAACACACCTGTCCCTTAAGTCTTTCAATCCTAAACAAATAACCTCCCGAATAATTAATGAGTATGAGAAGTCATTTCAAAGCCTCCAAATCGAACTGAACGGGATTTCAAGTCCTTGCAATAAGCCTGAAGCGAGATGACGTTTTATCCCCGTCTCTAGACCATAATCCTTTTTACACTGCTTTTGTTCTTTAGTTATGACTATTGTTCCTGTATTCTCTAAGGAATCAAAAATTTTAATATGAAAGAATTTTATAAACTATTATGGTATAGAGTCGGGGGTAAAACGTCATCTCGCTTCAGGCTTATTGCAAGGACTTGAAATCCCGTCCAGTCCGATTTGGAGGCTTTGAAATATTACATAAATAACCTATCACGTGACAGATTTTGATAGCCAATGAACCGAGAAAAAAACAACAACAAAGTAGCGCCTTGTAACAGGGGCATGAAGAGGAGCTTGGAAGGTATCGAGGACAGTTCCAGCATCGCTCACATACCTTGTGATTTGCCTTGTCGTAGTTTGCCAAGCTGCGATCGTCTTCTCTTCCCAAGACGAGGCTAACAATTCGAAAAATATAAAAAAATAAAATAAAGACAAATTCCTGTGCGCAAAAAATTAAAGATTAAACTATAAATAAATAAGATAAATAAGAGAGGGAAACTTCTTAATGGCGCGCGCGTCATATAAATTTCCGGTTGGGCTATTTTTAGTAACCGGGTGCAGTTTAAATTTCGCCTTACCCCACTCCCGTGCGTCATTGACTTGCGCGCGTTCGCTTTTTCCGTTTATTGTTTTGATCCAGGTTTTGGTCATTGAAAACGAAACGAGCGCACGCGCGCAAGTTGATGACGCACTGGAGGCGAAATTTAAACTGCATCCGGTTACTAAAAAAGTCACATGGAGAGGAGTTACATGGAGAGGTTTCTCTCTCTTATTGATGCTCTCCTGGTGCTAGCCACGTAAAACAATTTTTTTAGCGAAATACAATYTACAATATTGGCTGATGTCTATTATGTGGGATTCCACATAACCTTTAAGTTGTGACGTATTTCCGGGTCCAATTTGATGACAGAACAGTTAAAATTGAGTGTAAAATGTCCTAAGTGATTTAACCTCAAACTGAAACAATTTGAACCTTGGACGACGAATGCCGTTAATTTAAAAAAATATTTGTAGGTTTGCTTAGCGATTTGAACCCGGAAGTCGTTTTTAGTGTACGATTGACGTCACACTTAAACGCTCTACTATGTTTAGGTCCTTGCCTACTCATCATCAACCAACATAGCCTGAAAATGTGGCTGAATAGAAAATGTTCGTGTTTCAAATTAAGTGTTTCGTAAAGCCCCGTTTACACTAGCGATTTTTGCTGCGATTTTTGCTGCGATTTTTTTGCGATTTTGTCCATAAAAAATAATGGCAAAGAATTTACTTGTAAAGTTTTATTCAGGATACTAAGATTTTCCTAGACGAATGTCTCTTTTGAAGGATGAGACAAAAGATTTCATATTTCCGAAAATTGCCACAAAAATCGCCAGTGTAAACGGGGCTTAACTGGAGTATTAACGAACCTGAAATGCTTTATTTTCTGTCTGTGGACTTTCTTCAAAGACCTCACTACACGACCCACTGTCTTCATCCTGTGAAGTAGAATCCTGCATCGGACTATCGCGATCCAAATTCCCTAATCGTGAAGACGACGTAGTATTTAAACTCAGTGTCAACGATCTCTTCCTCAAATCAAGTTCAGATAACCTTGAAGATCTCGACCTAGATCTACTGGTCCCCGCTTCTTGTGTGCTTTCCATATCGTCACAAGCATCACTATCGTCGTCTTGATGTTTTTGAACATTTAAACTTGATTTTGACCTATCTCTGTCTTTACTCCCGAATTTTTCACTTTTTAAGTCTCTTTTAGCGTTTTCAGAAGTTTCAGAATTCTTAGTATTGTCTTTGGATTTCTCTTGAGAAGACAAGCTTATGTCGTCTCTAATTTTTATCCTTCGTCTTTCTCGTTTGGTACCTTTGACTTGAGAAGGTTTTGCCTCTGTTTCATATTCTTTAACATTATCACCTTTTGATCTGTTTCCGCGCTTTGAAGTCTCAACATTGTCCTCAAAGTCACTATCCCGACTACCTCGTGGCGCGTCGGAATCAGTCGCTTCTTCGCTCAATGTTCGGTCTCTTGTCCTTAGCCGTACTCGACGTTTGCCCCGACCTTTTGATTTTTTGATTGGAGCGTCTTCAGAGCTCTCCCAGCCTGATGTATCATCGTCCTTGTTTTTGAGGGAGGCGTAGTGTTCTCTGGATCGTCGTGTTGATGATGGTGATGTTGCTCGGGATGAGGAACGTGGACGTCGTTCGGGAACCACTACATCGGATTCAACGTCTAAGAATACAAAATAATGAATAAATAAACAAACAAACAAAAGAACAAACAGACAAACAAACAAACAAACAAACAATCAAACGAAGACCGAACGAACAAACGAACAAACGAACAGACAAACAAACAAACAAACAAACAAACAAACAAACGAAGAACGAACGAAAGAACGAACAAATGTTTTTACATTTGAAACCATATGATATTCACTAGAGTATTATATCTTTGTTCAACGAGCGCGCATAAGAAGACCAAGAATATGGACAAAATTTAAACAAGGAATCTTATTCTCAAGAGAATGACACATTAAGATTTAAAAAAAAGATAAAATAAAAAATAAAATAGAATAAAATAAAATAAAAAATAAAATGAAATGAAATGAAATGAAATAAAGACCACATAAGGCTCAAGCTAAGGTTTGAAAAAAAAAAAAAAAAGAAAAAAAGACGAGACAAGGGTCACGCAAGGCCCAAGCTAAGGATTGGGAGAATACCAATCGAAAAGGCAATAAAATCCTACCTTCTACTTGTACAGGGTACTTAGTTTTAATCTTTCGAAGGTCTGAGAGAGGGAAAATACCACTGTCACCATCATCAAACTCTACCCAGAGTTTGCTAACTTCAGACTTTTCATCGGGAGGAGCTGAAAGAAATTGATCAGGTATCAAAAGAAGTTGTTAAAAAACTTCCAACTATCACCAGCTGATAGGAGAAAAAAATTAGCCAATCGGAAACAAGAACATTTGCCAAACTGACGTGTCACTTTTTCTCTTGAAATTATGGATTTCCAGGCAACCGAATGAGAAAACCAAAACCAGTTGCTAATATAAGAGGTTGATAACGGTAACTATTGAGTTTCATATCATTACAGCCATTCTCAATCACAAGCGCCCTCTTGTGATTTTTTCTGTCGCGACGAAGAAGGTTTTGGTGGACGTCAATCACAAGGCGTTTCCATGACATTGTCGGAAAACACGAAGCTATAAGGGCACGTGCCTATAGAATGTCATGGAAACGCTTTGATTGACGTCCACAAACATCTACTTCGTCGCGACAAAAACAATCGTTAGAGGGCGCGTGTGATTGAGAATGGCTGTAATACAATGCCGGGCATTGTGTTAAACATTTTTGCAGGCTTCATGAGACTTCAGTTTTTCAGTGACTTCATTTCTACGTCGCTATTTCAATTCAGCTGGCAAATTAAATTCATGGATCCGCGACCACGATCACAGCATGGTTTCGTATAGAGGCTTTGCACCATCACGTGATGGCAGCCATGACAGGAGGCAGGAACAATTGATTCTGGTCTAATCTGATTTACATTAGAAAGGATTCAGTTTCCCAGGGGAAAAGACTATTGTTGTGCCTCCTGTCATGGCTGGCATCACGTGATGGTGCAAAGCCTCTATAGTGTTGAAGTAACTTACTGTCTATGACACTGCCTGGGTAGAAACATCGGTACTGTGGGCTCCAGTGAGCGCAGACTCGGGTACCTACTGGCAGATACTCTATTGCAGGAGGGATGACATCTTTAACCTGAAGTGAATATATAGGTCACAAAATTACAAAATTAGTGTGGGACATGAAGATTTTACAGTTTTGAAGACCGACAGATAGAACACGGTACCGACATACAAGAAAAAGAAAAAACAACCAGACATGCAGACAGACAGACCGACCGACCAACCCACAAAAAGACAGACAGACTGACAGAGAGTCAAACCGGTAGACTTGGGAAATAGGACACACTAACAAACAAAATGATGCCAGATGCCAGTTCATTTCACTTACCGCCTGAGACAGAAGCTGTTCTGTTGAGCGTAAATGAGGCCTTCTTCCTCTTTCCCCGGGCAAAACAATACCGTATCTATGGGAAAAAATAATCCAGTTAAATACACGTTGCACGGCATGACATACCACACCACACCATAGCAATATACAGTACGGCACAGTGCATCAAGGTACAGCACGACACAGCACAGCACGACGCAGCAAGGCACAGCACGACACAGTAGAGCAGAGCAGAGCAGAGCAGAGCAGAGCAGAGCAGAGCAGAGCAGAGCAGAGCAGAGCAGAGCAGAGCAGAGCAGAGCAGAGCAGAGCAGAG